GGAAAGATATTCCATGTTTATGGATTAGAAGAATCAACACAGTTAATATGACCATATTACCCAAAGCAATACACAGATTTAATGCAACCGCCACCAAAATCCCAATGTGGTCCAGCCAGTGTGGCTCAGTTGGTTGAGCACTGCCCCATGCACCAGGAGATGGAAGCTCAATTCCCAGTCAGATTACATACTCGGGTTGCAGTCTCAATCCCCAGTAAGGGGTGTGCAGGAGGCAACAGATAGATGTTTCTCTCTCATTGATATTTCTCTCTCTCTGAAATCAACAAAACCATTTTTTAAAAAAAATCCCAATATGATTTTATAAAGAAATAGAACAAAAAAGAATCATCAGATTTGTATAGAACCACAAAAGATCCCGAATGGCCAAAGCAATCCTGAGAAAAATAAACAAAGAGGGAAGTATCACACTACCTGACTTCAAATTATACTACAGAGCTACAATAATCCAAACAGCATGGTACTGGCAGAAAAAGAGACAGAGTGACCAATGGAACACAACTGAGAGTCCATAAATAAAACCACATGTATATGGGCAAATAATTTTCATCAAAGGAGCCAAAAACATGAAATGAAAAAAAGAAAGACTTGCCCGGCCCATGTGGCTCAGTGGCTGAGGGTCGACCTACAAACCAGGAGGTCAAGGTTTTATTTCCGGACAGGGCACATGCCCTGGGTTGAGCTCCATCCCCAATAGGGGGTGTGCATAAACAAGCCAATCAATGATTCTCTCTGATCAGTGCTATTTCTATCTCTTTCTCCCTCTCCCTTCCTCTCTGAATTAAAAAAAAAAAAAAAAAAGGCCCTTCAATAAATGGTTCTGGGAAAACTGCAAAGCCACATGCAAAAAATAAAACTACACTACTATTTATCACCATTCACAAAAATTAACTCAAAATAGATCAACAACCTATACAGAAGACCTGAAATAATCCTAAATAATAAAAGCCTAATATGCAAATTGTCCCTGCCTCCTCGGGGCAGTGGTTCAACTGAGAGTTCGATCACTTGCTATGACATGTGCTGACCACCAGAGGGCAGTGCAGAACACATGGCAGGCATCGGTGATGCAGTGCTGGCAGCGGGCAGCAATGGAGGCACTGCAGGCCCCATGGGAGCAGGACCGCAGCAGGATGGTGGAGTAGGTGAGCAGGCAGGACAGGTCAAGGTGGGTGCGAGCAGGGGCCCTATCACTCCACTGATCACCCCGCAGACTGCAACCAGCGGTGGCGATGGGGAGTGAGGCCTGCCGCCTGGCTCCCAGGCACTGAGGGAGCCAGGCGGGAGGCCCAGCCCTGATTGATCGCCCCGCAGACGGGATGCTGGAGCAGGTGAGGGGGCAGCACCAGGCCAAGGCAGCATGCCAGGCGGGGCTATGGGGCTGCAAGGCTGGGGGCGCGAGGTGGGACCCGATCTCCGCAAGCCACCCCGAGGGACTCCACCCATGCACGAATTTGTGCACCAGGCCTCTAGTAAATTATATAAAAGAAAACATAGGTACTAAACTTATGTTCCTTGGTCATAGAGAAGATTTTATAAATTTGACACCAAAGGCAAAGGAAATAAAGGGAAAAAGCTTCTATACAGCAAAGGAAATTGTTAACAAAACAAAAAGACAACCAAATGGGAGAAGTTATTTGCAACCAACAGCTCTGACAGGAAGTCAATATGCAAAATACAGGCATAGGCAAAATTAGGTTTACAGTTGTGAGTATGCAATTTTTTCTTGTATTATTTATTAATTACTGTGTTATATTCTACACGAACAACTACAAAACTACTTTTTCCCATCCCCATATATAAAGAACTCATAAAATTCAACACCAAACAGACAAGCCAATTAAAAAATAGGCAGAGGAATAGCCAACAGATTAATGAAAAAATGTTCAACCTCTTTAGCTATTAGGGAAATGCATATCAAAATTATGAAAGCCCTGGCTAGTTTTGCTCAGTGGTTAGAGTGTTGGCCTGCAGGTTCAATTCAGTCAACGGCAGGTACCTTGGTTGCAGGTTCAATACCCAGTCCTGGTTGGGGCACGTGCGGGAGACAACCAGTCCATGTCTCTCTCACATCACTGTCTCTCTCTTTCTTTCCTCTACCTCCCTCCCTTTCACTCTCTCAAAAAAATCAATGAAAAAAAATATCCTCAGGTGAGGATTTAAAAAAAACACTACAATGAGATACTATTTCGCACCTGGTAAAATGGCTATTATCAACAAGACAAGTAACAACAAGTATTGGAGAGGTTGTGGAGAAAAAGGAACACTCGTTCAGTGCTGATGGGAATGCAAAGTGCCACAGCCACTCTGAAAAACAATGTGGAGGCTCCTCAAAAAATTAAGAATAGTGTTACCACATGACCCAGCAACCCCTCTTCTGGCTATCTACCAGAAAAACTCAAAAACATCCTACCTATATAATAAAAAGCTAATATGCAAATTGTCCCTTCGACCAGGAGTTCAACCAGGGGGCGGGGCCAGCCTGCTAATTGCCTGTGGCCCCACCCCCCTGCCAGCCGGACCCATGAGTGCACAAATTCGTGCACCGAGCCTCTCGTTTATTCATAAAGATACATGCACCCCTATGTCCATTGCAGCATTATTCATGGTGGCCAAGACATGGAAACAACTGAAGTGTTCTTCAACAGATGACTGGATGTGTTACATATATACTACTCAGCCATAAGAAAAGATGAAATATTGCCATTTGAAACAACATGGATGGATCTTGAGAATATCATACTAAGCAAAGTAAGTCACAGAAAAGTTAAGAACCATATGATTTCACTCATATGTAGGATATAAAACTGAAAGCAACAAATGAACAAACAAAAGAACAACAAAAACTCATAGACAGACAACAGTATGGTGGCTACCACAGGGAAGGGGTTGGGGGTAGGAAAGGTAAAGGGGGTCAAAAATATGGTGACAGAGATGTGACTTTGGGTGGTAAACATACAACGCAATATACAGATAATGCATCATAAGATTGTACACTTGAGGCCTGTATAATCTTATTAACCAATTTCACCACAATAAATTTAATTCAAAAAAATAAAGAGGACCCTGGAGGCACTTCGTTAAAAGAAATGAATTGAGAGAAAGGCCTACCATCTGAGGGAGTTCTTCTTTCCTTCTTCTCTTTCAGTGTCTTCTGAGGTTTTGCTTCTGTAGATAAGGCTTGAAGAATATGTCACAGTTTTAACCATACTCCATCTATGCTTAGTACCTATCTATTGATTTTGTACACATGTATCTGCTATCCTCATGACTCCTAAGCTCAGAGCAAGCCATTCAACTTCAAACTTCAGCTCCACCTGACCACTTCAGGCAGTGCCTGACAAAGGTGCCTCTTTTTAAGCAAAAAGCCTCAACTTACATATTAGGGTCACATGCATAACAGGTCTGCACCTGCTGAAAGAACTGTCCTGACATATTCCCACCCTGTTAAATCATTAGAGTACACTGTACAGTGCAGTTTCATTTGGTCAAGATATTGGAGTAAATATTAAGCCAGGGATTCTTAATCTGGGGCCCATGCTTCTCTGCGTTATCCACTGATCCCCTGAAATTGCATATACAATGTTATATAAATACATATTTGTGCGTTTGGGGTGGGGGCCCACTGTGTTTAGTTATCAAAGAGTATAACCAAAAACAGAATAAGAAGTACAATGTAAGTCCCTTGTGCTTTAGTAAACCTAAACAGAAAACTCTGCCCTCAGAGAAGTTTCCGTTCTTCCCACCACCACCATGTTAACTCATCTCAAGGTGGGGAGGAGGAGTACCTCTTTGTTCCTCTTCCATCTGGCTTGTGGCACCCACTTTGATCCGAGCAGCCAGCTCATCAGCAAAGGACGTGGGTCTTTTCTACAGGCAGAAGAGACCGAAAGAATCACTTTTTGTAACATACAAAGTAATACAGTTTACTTTTGAATATTTAACCGAATTTTCTAAATAATGGCAAAGGAATTGAAATGATGAGAAAACAACGTTTAACTAATTAAATTTAAACAGATGTACTCCAGGTGATGAACACACAATACAGTGCACAGATAATGTGTTGTGGAATTGTGCACCTGAAAGCTGAGTAATTTTGTTAACCAAGGTCACCCCAATAAATTCAATATAAAGGGGAAAAAAAGAAAAATGATAGGGTGGTGAAGGCCTAGGGCGGGGGGCAGCAACAGGCTGGAGGGGGTCAATGAGGGGAAGAGGGAGACATATGTAATACTTTCAACAATAAAGATTAAAAAATAATAATAAAGAAAAATAAACATATGCACCCTATACAGATCACCTGAGATGGGTGTTCCTTCGAAGAGAAGTGCTCCATATTTCTTTATTTTTTTATACTTCAAAGAGCTAGGTATAAGAAAACTATCATGAAGTCTTTGGGGGGCGGGGGAGGAAGTATTAGGGTCTTAAAACTCTGGAAATGAATATATTTTAAATGATCTGACTTGTAAAACTGTAACATTTGAAACAGAAAGTGATACTGGCTAGGTAACCTGAGATGCTCAACCATTATTTTTAAAAGTGTAATTGAAAATACAAATATGATGTAAAATAAGATGGTTACAAATATAAACACAATACAAGGAATGAGGCTTAGGTACTACTTCTAAACCTTGCCAATAGGTAGCAACCATATTTTCTTACAGGTCTAGGACTCTGTTCAATGTCCTCAATATCTTCCTCCTCCTTCTCAGAATCAGCGAAGATGTCACAGCCATCATCATCCTCTTCTTCATCACTTATTTGTGCAGTGTGCTAAGAGTATAAACCACCAGATTAGAATTGTTAGATAAGGTCACCAAGCTGAAAAAGAGATACTGCTACTTAGCTTTTTGGCAAAAGTGTAAGTTCATTAAATGCAGCAAAAATTATGAAGCAGTACATGTGCTAGAACAAATAATACACATTTATTTTTAGCACAAGAATAGTGACATGAGATATTAAAAATATCCATCACTAGAAAAATGATTAAACTAAATCAGTATCATCCCATCTTAATAAGAATACTAATACTCAATAAGAATACTAAAGGAGTTAGAGAGCCGGACATCTGGCTTGCGAGTGGGAATCTCCATGTCGCGCGTGACTAACGAGCGATTTTAAAATAGGTGATGTTGAGAAGGGCAAGAAGAAGTGTGCCCAGTGCCATACTGTGGAGAAGGGAGGCAAGCACAGGACTGGGCCAAATCTCCATGGTCTCTTTGGGCAAAAGACAGGTCAGGCCCCTGGATTTTCTTACACAGATGCCAACAAGAACAAAGGTATCGCCTGGGGAGAGGCTACACTGATGGAGCATTTGGAGAATCCCAAGAAGTACATCCCTGGAACAAAAATGCTCTTCGCTGGCCTTGAGAAGAGTGCAGAAAGGACAGACTTGATAGCTTATCTCAAAAAAGCTACTCATGAGTAATAGCTGGCCACAGCCTTGTTTGTGACAAAGGTCTCATGACTCTTTTTTATGTGTACCATATTTAAATTGACTTCCTACACCAGAATTCAGACATGAATGGCTAATAGAGCATTTCTTCCAGGCAGTCCTGATTTAAATGAGATTGGCTTGTGGTTAAATGAATATGGCCAGCTTTTTGAGCTTTGGTGATAATTTTGGTTCAGCAAGCCCTGTCATTGTCCTTCCTTCTAAAAATATGATTGAACTTGATTCCTAGTGTTCAGCTTTTCAAAGAGGTGGTGAGTGCCATCTCAGAACCTGCAGGAGACTGGCTTACATTTAGATTTCTATGATTGGTTGTATGAATATGTTTAAATTCTGAGGAAAGCCCTTCACTGTCTCTTAGACCTGCAAGACTTGCTTGTGTTTCAAGTTGTGTTCATCGGCCTGTTAAAAGGAAGGGCGGCAGATGAGCTGGCAGTGACCATTTTATCTCTTTGGTCCCAACTATACCAATTTAATAAAATTCCGTGTATCTAAACTGCTGCCTTTTACTGAATGAAAGGCATTTTAGTGTGGTATATGTATAATAACAAATAAAGAGTATTTAACACTTCTACGTTTCATAGATAACCTCTAAGGTCAGATGCTTTTAAAATTCAGCGTGACAAGGTACAGTAGCAAACTTTGTGAATTCTTTAAGTCAGACTAAGTTATAATTCAGGATTGTCTCTTTTTTTTTCTTTATTGGTTAAGGTTGTGTCCGTAACGCCCCATTGTCCCCCCTCACCCCCCTCAGGATTGTCTTGAATAGCTATTCACTGACAATATATGTGTGTGATTGGTAATGGTGCTTTTTGCCAGCTCACTAGGATTAAAGTAGAGAATAGATCATTAACACAAAATGGTAAATTATGTCATCATAAGGCTTAAGATAATTAAAAACAAAGTCACAGATAAAAAAAAAAAGATTACTAAAAGGATAACTTGTAATAATTGAAGAGCTATCCAAGGAATCAAGTGAAAAAACTCTGAATGATAAACCCAGTATGGTACTCTGCACCCCCCTCACCCCTACGCCATCTGCACGGGCACAGGTATACTTGTAAAAACAAAGAAAAACACTTGGATATATACACTGCCAGATCATAACACCAGTTACCTCTAAAGGATGTGAGAGGATAAAGACTGGAGGGCTCAAACTAAGCTTTATCTGTGAAGCTCTAAATTTTATAAAAGCAGCCACTGGTGACCGACCAGTGTGGCTCAGCAGTTGAGCATCGACCTATGAACCAGGAGGTCATGGTTCGATTCCCAGTCAGGGCACATACCCAGGTTGCAGGTTTGTAAGATGTGCAGGAGGCAGCTGATCAATGTCTCTCTCATCACTGATGTTTCTATCTCTCTCTCCCTCTCCCTTCCTCTCTGAAACCAATAAAAAATATATATATTTTTAAAAAGCAGCCACTGGTATAATTGTTTTAAAGCATGTCTAATGTTTAAATTAGTTCAAATTAATTATATATTCTTTCTAGTTTGCATCTGCAAGCATTTGGTGAATAAAAAACAGTAATCTAGTTACTAAAAAATAAAAATAAAAAAATTTTAAAAATGCCAGGCACCATGCTAAAAATCTTTAGAACTCTGAGGTTAACTGTGGCACACAAAAATAGTCCACTTTTAACAATACGAACAAATGGTAAGCCAATGCTTTTAATCACTATATTGTATTGTTTGAAAAACTGTCTGAATTTACAGATCTTAACAGCAAATTCCACAGAGAAATATTTGAGTTATTAAAGGAGATTAGCCACATACAACTGGGAAAATACAAGTACCAACCAATAAGTACTAAATCCTTCAATTGACAGCTGAAAATTTTTATAAACAAGTATTTCCCACCCTGGCCAGTGATGGTCCAAGGTTAGCGCATCAGCCCCCTAATCCAGAGCACGTACATGGGTTACAACACAGGTTCAATTCCTAGCCCTCCCTTGTCAGGGAGCGGGCAGGAGGCAACCAATCAACATCTTTCTTTCTCTTTCTTTCTCTCTCTCTCCTTTCTTCCTTTCTCCCTCCCTCCCCCCTTCCCTACATCCTTCCACTCTCTCTAAAAATCAATGAGCCTTAGCCGTTTGGCTCAGTGGATAGAGAGTCGGCCTGCAGACAAAAGGGCACCAGGTTCGATTCCCGTCAAGGGCACATACTTCAGTTGCAGGCTTCTCCCCGGCCCAGGCCCTGGTCAGGGCTCATGCAGGAGGCAACCAATCGATGTGTTTCTCTCACATTGATGTTTCTCTCTGTCTTTCTCTCTCCCTAAAAAAATCAATGGAAAAATATCCCCGGGTGAGTATTAACAAAAAATAAATATTTCCCAATTAGGAAACAAATGCAAATTGAGACAATCTCTATATACCACCGTACATATATCATAGTAGCAGAACTCGTAACCCTTGTGCTGAGGAGATTGTAGGAAAATCATTATGCAGGATCTGTAACTTGGAATGTCCATCAGATTGTAAATATCAACAGTCTTTAGTATAATTCTACACAACCTTATGCCTAAGAAAGCAATTCACATAAGCAAAGGAGCTTTCTGTATGAAATACTGAATAAATCATTATCTCAAAAATAAAATCCTAAAAATAAGCCATTTTCCATATACATTTAGAGACCATGACAGCATCATATATTAGTGTGCTTAAAAATACAGTTTAGCCTGACTGACGTGGCTCAGTGGTTGAGCATCTACCTATGAACCATGATTCAATTTCCGGTCAGGGCACATGCCCAGGTTGCAGGCTCAATCACCAGTGTGGGGCATGCAGGAGGCAGCCGATCAATGAGTCTCTCTAAATCATTGATGTTTCTATCTCTCTCTCCCTCTTTCTTCCTCTCTGAAATCAATAATAAAAATACATTTTAAAAGAACAACAGAAGTTTAGCCTGGCCTGAGTGGCTCAGCTGGTTGAGTGCCATCCTGTGCACAAGACTACTGGTTTGATTCCAAGTCAGGGCACATACCTGGGTATGGAACCCAACCAATCCATGTCTCTCTTAATGGGTGCTTCTCTCTGTCTGTCTGTCTGTCTGTCTCTCTCTCCTTTCTCTAAGCATGTCCTCGGGTGTAGATTAAAAAACTTACACACACATATACAGGGGTGGGCAAAAATAGGTTGACAGTTTTGAGTACATGAAACACATCTATATATATAAAAGCCTAAGCGACCTTTATGACCAGACAACCGGCCAGTAGCTATGATGCACGCTGACCACCAGGGGGCAGATGCTCAATGCAGGAGCTGCCCCCTGGTGGTTAGTGCACTCCCACAGCCAACCTCCTCCGGTCTCTCCCCCAGGCCGGCCAACCTCCTACAGGCCCCCCCCCCCCCCTCAGCCCTGGCCAGTGGCTGATTGGCCCTGATTGTTGGCCAGGCTAAGGGACCCCACCCGTGCACAAATTTGTGCACTGGGCCTCTAGTAGTTAATAAAGCTCTTATAATAATCATAACCTGCATGTCTTTTCCCATACAAACTATAAACCTAGTTTTGCCAACTTCTGTATATAGAAGTTTACAAAGCAAATTACAAAGACTATTTAAAGTGACAAGTACAAGGAAAAACTTATATTAATATGAAGTAGCAGAAAATAAATTATGTATATATGACAAAAAGAATACATCCTTAGTAGGATACAAAAAAAATTTTTTTTCTTTTTCTTTTTTTAATCCTCACCCGAGGATATTTTTCCATTGATTTTTAGAGAGAGTGGGAGAGGGGAAAACAGAGAGAAACATCAATGTGAGAGAAGCACATCGATTGGTTGCTTCCTGCAGGAGCCCTACCAAGGCCCAGGCCAGGGAGCAGCCTGCAACTGAAATACGTGCCCTTGACCTGAATTGAACCCACGACCCTTCAGTCTGCAGGCCGACACTCTATCCACTGAGCCAAACCGGCTAGGGCAGGATATAAAAAATTAAGACAATGATATTAACACAGTAAGATTAGAAGATTCTTTTGAGCCTTATTGTTACTGCTATACTGTCTCAAATTTTAAAATGGAGAGAGAGATTCAGTTTGGGTAACTGGGGCTATCTTTTAGAGGTTCTGCTTCCCAATTCTGTTTTTTGCTTCTTTTTTTTTCCTGAGAAAAATTAAGATAAAACTATAAAGTAAAATATATAAATATGCATACATATGTATGGAAGTAGCTTAAAAACATGAAATTATTGAAGGAAAATTAGTTGTAAAAATGAATAAATCCTTATTTTCTCATAAGTCATTCAAAAGTAATTTTAGTACTTAGTTAGTATGCTTCAATTAACTTCTAAAAGTAAAATCACTTTAATATGTGAGCCTTACCTGGGTTTGATCATTGTCACTATGATTGGCAAAATCTTCCTCTGACTCCTTTAGGGGGAAAAAGGCTTTGTTGTTAATAGAGGTTTTACTTAGAAGCACAGAAGTAATTTCGGGGCTAAGTCTTTGGGGCTCCTCAACACTCAGTCTCTACTGATACTAGTCACCTGAGCATCAAGGTTTACATGAGGTGGATAGCTGACAATATTGTGTAGGGCTATTCCAGGCAATATGTAATTTTTTGTGGTTAATTAAAACATCTCTAACAATTTGTTCATGTCCATCTGCACTATCCACTGGATTTAAAGTAAGAGTTGCATATTTAATTAACTAAATTATCCAAAATTGGTTTGTGTTATTTTACTTTTTATACGCCATTCTCTAGATTCCCTTCTAAATAGGATAACTACTTCATCAGGCCCAAGAAGGGAACACCAGTGTTTGCCACCAGCAATTAAGTAAAGGCTTGCATTGATAGCTAAAAGCAAAGGATTCAGCTCCGGGCCATCAGTTATGACGAGATTATTTAAGAAAAGCTCATTTCCCACTGTTAGGTGTTCTGTTCGAAGGGCTGGCTGAAGGAGGGCAGGGGAAGAGGATGAGAGAAAAGAGGAGAGACAAGTATATGCATACAACGCTGTCTCCTTCTAGAAATCTACGCT